TACGGGCTTGGCGGATCCAATCAGGCAGGACAAAATGCCGGACGGCGACAGGTACGGCATGCCTCCAGCTGCTCCTGCTGTGGAGTGAAGTGACCACCGCCCCGCCCCCGGCCGATGGCCGGCCGGCATCGCGAACTGGATTTTATATGTGAGCGCTATGCTGCTGTTTGATTACCCATTTAGCGCAGCGTTGTTTCTTTTCAGAACGAAGAGAAGAAAGCATGGAGACTACGTGGATTCTCGACATCTTACCTTCCTACCACCCCTGTCCGCTGGATTGTATCAGCCATGATACATTGTTTTTCTCTCACAACAAAACAGCATCAACCGACTTATAAGCCACAGAAACGATCAAGCGGACTGGGCGTATGCTGCTGCTAGCCATTGATAGGTTGACTAGTCAAATACTCCATTGAAGCAAAAATATGCACGTGTTCTTGAGACTTTCAGACAAGCAACACCCAAGGAGCCCTGCTTGACAACCCAGCCCATACATAAAGGCGCTGCCTCTAGTCGGACTGTTCGGTTCCATAGGCCGGCTCATGGACTAGCATCCTGATCAGCCCCTATTTCGGCCCACGAAACGCCTCCCAGCTGCCCAACCTACTCCTGAGCCCAACAAGCCACTGCGCTTCCCCACCTCGATGCATCCGCTGCCTCCGACTCCAGCTCCCTAAAATTCCCATATTCCGCAGTTCGATCAACTAATCAAACCAGTGCTTCATAATTTAGGACGAATTGTTTCAAACAAATGTGGTAGAATCAAACAAGTTCGGAATATTATAACGGCTTGCTTAACATCGCCTCCTAGAGCAACTTTGGCAGGGTTTTGAACTGGGATGCTACCCTACGTATTGAGCCCAAGGGGGAAAAACACGACTACAGCAAAGTCCATACTTTGAGGGACTCCCAAGTCCCCTCCATCTCTATTTCTACGGTTTATAGGAGCCACTTAACTCTTTTGTCGAGCATTTTTTTTATCTCCCGCATCTTGAGTGTGCCCACCCCATTTTCACTCTCGTTCCGGCCCACGTCTTGTGCTCATACACCAATGCAACGGGATTCATAGCCTGCATGGTTGGATCTGCTCTCCCCTACATTTTATCCCCAATCTTTGATGACGTGATGGGCCATCACTGTCGTCCCCAACCGCCCTAAGTTCGCCCGGCCCTCAGGCCGCTGCTTCTCAACCAGACTCGATGCCTCGAGGTCGTCCCTATACGTGTCCAACGGGCCGGTCCGGCCTGGACCGGCACGGGCCCGTGCCAGGCACGGGCCACAGTGGGTTGGGTGGGCACGGCACGTCGTGCCTCCCGGGCCGTGCCGACCTAGGCTTCGTGCCGGGTTGTCCCGAAAAGCATGCCACGCCCAACGGGTCGGGCCAGCCCGAGGCCCACATAATGCTAAGAGAGAGAGAGAGAGAGAGAGGGAAAGGGGAGGCAGGGACAGCTACGCGAGCCACGGGGGGTGGCGGCGGCGGCGCGCTCGCCCCTGAGAAGCCTCCGACCAGTGCCTCCTTGTCACATGCCGACCGCGTCAGGGCCGCACGCCACCGCCTCCTCGCCGCAAACGACGACATCATGGATGCGCCGCAGCAGCACAAGGTCATGCCCACGCGGCTGCGCGTGGCTCAAACCTCCTCCTCCGCGACTTCTCCGCAGGGCCGCACGGCGCTGTTGAGGTTGCCCCTGGCTGCTCGAGTGCTCGTCCATGGTTTGCTCGAATCTGAGAGAAATCAAAGGAGAGAGAACGAGAGACGTGCTAGTGCGGTGGAAGGATGGAAAGAACTAGAGCTGAACTGTGAGGCGATGGAATCCGAAGTGATAAGGTTCGTGGACCCAGCAGAAAAAAATAAAAAGGTGAAGACGTGAGGTGATAAGGTTGTGGTGGTCCCCACCAATGAAGAAAGAGTGTTCGTAGTTTTTAGGAGGAGTGTGAGCGGCTACCGGTCTGCTCTGCTGTGTAAGCTGTAGCTGGTGTGTATATTAATTAATAGGGGATGCGGGCCTATACCGGGCCTAAGTAAATTTAGCGGGCCGGGCCACCCGACGTGCCTAAGGAACAGCCCAGGCATGACCCTAAGCATCGGGCCAGGCTGGCCCGAGCCCGCTTGACACCATGCCGTGCTGTGATCGGGCCGGGCCAACGGGCCACGGGCTGCATGGCCATCTATAGTCGTCCCTGTCCCAGACTGCTAGCTGCTTGAGATCGCTACCTTGCGCCGCTTCAGGTCGAGCAGCCTCCTTGGTTTCAAGATGTCATTGTCCTCGTCTGTGAGCTCGTTTTGTCCCCAACTTGTCCAATGCCGAGCGACACTAGTGAGCCTGGCAAGGTAATATTTTGGATGAATTGTTGATATTTTGTTTTTATGTGTTGTGTCGTTGGATGAGACTATGCTTGTGGTGTTGGATCGACGACTTTTATGTATGTGACTATATGTTTCAAAAAAAATTGAATTCATGATTTTCATGAATTGTTGATATTTTGTTTTTTTTACTTTGAATTGTTGTGATGAAAATTGTATTGTATACATAGAAGATGCAAATAGTATAGACAAATAAATAATAGGGACATGGGGGCACTACTGGAGTTGAGACATACTATCCTCGACCGAAATCTTTGATGATAGTTCTGCCGATAAAATGGTACATGAGTAAAGTGTAGAATGGTGTGATTGCCGATAATAGTCAATATGTTTGCTTCATTCTAGGGGAACACTATTTACAACATGTAATAATAATTATGGATGCATACTTTCATTATTTAACCCTAATTAAATTATGCATAGGTTTATTTTATTTAAGCCGAGTTCCGAATGAAAATTAACTAAGATTTGACCTACTCAACATTATATGAACGAACATCAAGCATCTAAAAGAAACATTTAAAATCTTCACACTTTTCATTTAAGGTTTATTTGTGCAATGTTGTAGTGACTGTCTCATAACCAATAAAAAAACTTACTTTATAAAAAAGAACATAAAACACACCCACACAACACAGACCCCGTTCGCTTCGCTAAAAAAACAAGCAAAAACACTGTTCCGGCTGATTTGTTGTGAGAGAAAAATACTGTTCCCGCTAAAAAAAGAAACTGAAAAGTACGGATTACAAGAGAAGTGAACAAGGCCACAATCTTATTTCAACTTACCGAGAGGGTGGAGTTAGGTGATAAAGTTGGCAAGTGCTTTGGGAAGATTTCCTCGAAGGGGAGTACAAGTTTGCCATAAAATTTTCTAAGTTTGATTTTGACCATGAAACTCTAAATCCAAAAATTCTTGTTCATTAAATTATCAATCCTGATGATATTTAGCCCTCGAGTGGCTTTTAATGGTTGTTTCACCTATGCGGATGACAAGTGGCAAGTGGCAGTGGGGCTCACTCGTGGTACCCCTATATCCTCCTTCCTATATCATCTCTAGGCATCTCTCTTTCTCTCTCACCTCTCTACATATCCATCTCCTGTAGCATCGCCGCCTTCCCAAGCTCATCAGAGACAAGTGTTGTGCCCTTCCTTAATCCCTAGATCTACCTGCCATTTGAAGCCTCGGTTGGCAAGCTCTCTCGCGCGACACTCAATTAGTCGTCCCATGCTCGAAGTTCCACTGCATGAGTGAGAGAGGGAAAACAGGTAGAGAAGGAGCTCAAACCTCGCTAGCACCATCCTACACTAGTGCCCTGTTCGCTTGGCTGATAAGCCATAGCTGAAAGTACTGTTGGCTGATTTATCGTGAGAGAAAGATACTGTTCGTCGACTAAAAAAGTACGACTTATAAGCTAAACGAACAGGGCGTAGACAGATGCGTTGTAGCTTGTGGTAGCAACTTGGAGCTCCATTCATGCTCCTCGTCATTGATTCAACTCCTTGCTGTTGCTCAGTGGCGGCCATGGGTCATCGGCTGTTATTAACGATCGTAAATTTCTAGCACGATTTTTTCTCTCACACCAAACCAACCCTATAATCCACGCATCGATATTTATCGTTTTAGCCCCAAATTATGAATGATGGTTAGCACACGACATGCCTATGCGTAGAGCGAGTTGGTGATGAATGATGGTTAGTCGACAAGGTCGCATGGGAGAGTGATCTCCAGGCTCAGCCACAATACTGAGAAATATTCGTCTGCACTACTTCAACAATACTTTTCAACGAACGAACAATGTTTTCTCTCACAACAAATCAACATAAGTCAAATTTCAGCAAAACGAATAGCTTTGATAAAGAGGGAGGGGGAGGGGAGGGCATCAAATGAAGGAAGTGGGCCATGGAGCATGACAGGTGAGATATGTGATGCGGGGGAGATATGGGAGAAAGAGAGAAGAGAGAAATATGTAGGTGATAAGTGTCTTTCACTATCATATGTTGTTCACATCAACAGAATCATTCATAAAAACAATTACTCTCTCCGTCTAGGAAAGAATGTAATTATAGCATAGTGTCATGGTTTTGTATCTTAAGTTCAATCAATTATAAATAAAAAAGTATCAATATTTATGATATCAAATAAATATCATTAGATTAATTACAAAATGTATTTTTATAATAAATTATTTTGGAGCCGTAAATGTGAATAGTATTTGTTAGAATTTTGATTAAATGTGAACTACTTTTTTTGCTGGCACGCAATCACGTAGTTGCATTCTTTTCTGGACGGAGGAAGAAGATGGCAAAACTGAATGGTTTCAATAGTTAGATAGTCAAAGGTTCATTTTTTTTGAGTTTCATAGCTAAAACAAAACTCTGGTGATAGTTCCATGCTCAAATAGTATTAAACAAGCACATGGAAGACGATAGACATGGTTAATTTGATTCCACGTATTTTCGTGTCCATAATCCGTTTTTTCCGTTGGGATAAAACTGGTGAGATGAGAGGTCGGATGCTGTCAAGCGGATCTCCAGTGCAACTGTTTTTTTTTTTAAATATTGGTAGAGATACTCCTTCTCCGCTACGTAGGACCCATGTGTCATTTATCAATTTATTTATTTTTATTTTCCCCTCTCAGCTTGCTCCTCTCCTCCTCCTCCCCCGGGCCCCGACCCTTTTCACGCGCGACGCGAACTGCGCCTCCGCCGCCCCAGACTCGTCACCATCCCGCAGCGAGCCTCCTCCTCTAGCGCCCCTCTCTTTCCCTCCCTCGCTGCAGCTCTCTCCCTCGTTGCAGAGCCGCATCTCCAGCCAGTGGCCCAGTGCCCAGCCCGCCGAAGGACCGCCACTCCAGACGCCTTGGCGGCCCCTCGCGGCGCTCCGCCCCGCCCATCTCTCTCTTCTCCTCGCTGCAGCCACGGATCTTGGTGGCAGGGACGCCACCGCATTTCCCAGAATCCAAACGGCCCGGAAGAGCACGTACGCTCGTTCCTTTTTCTTTCTCCCGTTCGTCCGTTCCTCCCCCATCTCTCTCTCATTTGTTTCCTTCGGCGACGAATAGGCATGTGCCGCCGCCCTTCGCCAGGTCTTCACCTGCAACGAGCATCGACCAGGTACGCCCGCCTCCATCTGTCCCCTTCCTGCCGTGCGAAGCCGAGCATCCCGAACTCTAATGTAAGCTATTTGTTTCGGATCTGACCCCAATATTCGTATACACATGATACCTGCTAACTTCGAGTTTTTGCGAACATTATCGGGTGGTCCGCCTGAGGCAAATCCGGTATTGCTGCTTATGGTTTGAATTGTGATCTTTGTCTGTGACCTGTTTTGCTGTCCCGTCGCTGATCCTCATTGCATTTCGTTGAGATGGAATGATTCTGTACCAGTACAATTGATGCATACCATGTGATGGTTCTGCAGTTGATCTTCTGGCTGGAAAGTCACGTTGACGGTGGCGAGTAGGGGTTCTACCATCGGCAGCCTCATCTCAAGGAGCAAAATTCTTTCATGATCCCTTTAAACCGGAGAGCAAGCTTGCCCAGGGCTGGTAGATCTCGATGCCCCTTGTCTCGGTTATTACTGTTGCTTTAGATATACTAGTGACTAGTGATATGCACTCTTTACCCCAGCAGTCCCTTAAGCATGTATGCCCACCACCGCTGGCTTTGTTTATGTTTAGTTGGACCATCTAATGCATGCCCCCATGAAGGAAACTGAATATTTTTTTGGTGCTCCACTCGAAAAGCTATCCTTTTTTTTGCCTTACAATGGGATTCACTTGGTGTACAAGCACATGCTAGCTTTCAAAGGTGCTATTTATGCACTTCTATGAGTGGAACTGTGATTCTGTATGGCAACTAGTATATTTTCTGACAGTATTTTCCTTTGTTGAATGTTTCTGAGCAAAAGTTCCTTTCTGCGATCCAAATGATGTGTTTCTTCTGCCTGAAGTAATGCTTGTTATGTGCACATTAAGATTTCAGTTGCTAGAAAGACAGGCAAGTTGAGCTAAAGCTATTAGGTGCAATATTTCAATCGAAGTCAGGTGAATGTGTATAACTCTTTATTTAGATTTTTTAGATACATCTCTAAGCAAAGAGCAGCCACTTTGCTAAGATCACATTCCAAGACAATGCCAGAGTGTACTTATACTGCACATTATAAGTAACAGCAGGGTTATTTGGGTATCTATCTATCTATCTGATCATGAGTGTGCTTCATTTGTAATGATTGAATGTATGACTGGTCCCTTTGTATGTTTCTCTTGTTGACAGGGATGGAGTACTTTGATGCAAGGCGGAAGCCTCATAATGTTGGGAAAATCATTGCAGCCCTGGTCCTCACAACACTCTGTATATTTGTTCTGAAGCAATCTCCTGGTTTTGGTGGCAATAGCGTGGTAAGACTTTTCCATCCTATCATATTCTTCTCAATAAACTTTTCCAACCTACCTTCTACTCATGTTTCATATCATAAATTACAAATTAATTAATGTTCCTGTAGGTAGTAACTTTGTAATCTCTTCTGAGACTTCCCCTCCTTTTGTTTTCTTGTAATGCACTTCATCAACTAGATACGTTAGTTTGAAGAAGTTTTAGAATATGCAGCAAAGCTTGTTTGGTATCTTGTCATGGAATACGCACTTGAGTAATGAGAAAACAAAAGTGAAGAGCACCATCCTACTCGTTTCGCTCACGTATCTCTGTACCTTCTTGTGGTGGTGCTAATGAGCAGATGATGAAAGATTGAAAGTGACATCCCTCCAGCCGATAGTCTTTGTTATTGCAGTTCCTTTTTTACCCTAGGCCATGTTCCAACTTGATCTTTCATACATGTGTTTGTTGCCACTGCTTGGTTTTGGCAGTTAAGGCCTGAGTGACATCATGACAATTTCAGCTATCTGCCTAGAGGTTGTGTTTTGTTTTACGGCACCTAAGCAATCTGGATAATTAATGCTGATTTGTACTTTGTATACAAAACTTAGATGAATTTGATAGTACTCCAATTCCCAACTCTAAAGCTGACTGTGGTGTGCATATTCCTGCAGTTTTCTCTCCATGAACCTGGGGTTACCCACGTCTTAATAACAGGAGGAGCTGGTTATATTGGTTCACATGCCGCTTTAAGGCTCTTAAAGGATAACTATCGAGTTACCATTGTGGTAACCAAGTTTTTCTTTGTACTGAATGTGTGAACTAATTGTTTTTTAAGTCTTCTGCTGATGCACAGTTTGGTTCATCTTGTAGGATAATCTATCGAGAGGAAATATGGGAGCAGTAAAGGTTCTGCAGGGCTTATTTCCGCAGCCTGGGAGACTACAATTCATCTTTGCTGATCTGGGGGACCAGAAATCTGTATCCTCATTTATGTTTCTCAAGCTGCTGTGTTTGTGCCTTTTCTGCTTATGGAGAGTTACATCCAAAGTCTTCTTTTCACTTAACTGGCTCCCAGGTCAACAAGATATTTGCTGAAAATGCATTTGATGCTGTGATGAATTTTGCAGCTGTTGCTTATGTGGGAGAGAGCACATTGGAACCCCTTAGGTAAGTCTGTTGTTGTTACCTTGACACTTATATTGGAATCGAGGATCATCTTATTCTATTCCGCATAAAATGTGGGGGTCATCCAGGCTTTTACACCTTTTATGCATTCTCATATAGAATGTCCTGAACATGCATGGCCGGCCAGGGAAAACAGCATTAAGTATATTATCTTATGCTGGCCTTACTGTTGATTTTTTACTTAGTTCTAATGGCACCTCTCTCTCTCTCTCTCTGACTAAACAATGTATTAAAACAAATTATTGTCTTAATTGATGGAACACTGTAATGTTAGTGCCGTGATCATGGACTTACTCCTATCAATATCTTTACGTATTTCTTACAGATTTAAAAATCACTTTTAAAATATCTGAAACTTCTGTAATGTTTCTGACAGAGTGACAGTGTCAATAACTTAACAGGTACTATCACAATATTACATCGAACACTTTACTGATTTTGGAGGCTATGGCATCTCATGGAGTCAAAACCCTCATCTACTCCAGTACATGTGCTACCTACGGAGAACCAGAGAAGATGCCTATTACAGAAGCCACACCTCAGGTAGTTTTGTTGAGAATTTGAGATGTCCTCTAATAAAACCATGTTTTGTGTTAATATGTTATTTAGTCGTCTTGTTACTGAAACAAATAGTTTTAGGTTGCTATCTAAATGTTGCGTTCTTTCCTTCATTCTTTTTATGATTTTAGGTACCTGTGCAAACAGACATGTTGCACCAGTACTAATTGGTTTATGTCTTACCTTGGCCTAGTTCCCTATCAATCCATATGGAAAAGCTAAGAAAATGGCAGAGGATATCATATTAGATTTCTCAAAGTCGAAGGGAGCTGACATGGCTGTCATGATTTTAAGGTAATATTTTTCTCCAGTTACATAGGTTAGGACCTTGAGCATCTGAACTCATCTGTTCAGAAATTGGTTTAAATCGACATCTTGGCTTCTGCACCAGATATTTCAATGTTATTGGCTCTGACCCTGAGGGAAGATTAGGTGAGGCTCCTAGGCCAGAACTCCGAGAGCATGGTCGGATATCTGGGGCATGCTTTGATGCAGCATTAGGAGTCATTCCAGGATTAAAGGTACCCTTCTTCTGTACTGTGTAGCAGTATCTGTGAAATAAAGCATAAGTTAGTCTATTGCTTCGTGCCAAGGTGTGCATGATGTACTAGTAGCGGTTATTGTGGAAGTGTGCTGTAAGATGGAGCTGATGGTTATGCATGATCTTTCTGTAGGTTAAAGGAACAGATTATCCCACAGCTGATGGAACCTGCATAAGAGATTATATTGATGTCACAGATTTAGTTGATGCTCATGTGAAAGCACTCAACAAGGCAGAGCCTAGAAAAGTCGGCATTTACAATGTTGGAACAGGAAGAGGTTTGACAACACGAGATTTATTTATTTATTTGAATAATTATTATTTACTCATGGAGAGTTGTACCCTGCACAGGTTTTAATATATACTTTGCTTAATTTACATGGTAACAAGACATATAGAGGCCCGCAAACAGTTAATCTGGGACAACATATCTTTGTAGTATTTACACAAATATCTGCATAGGATCAATAGTTATTTGTGCATCAAGCTGGAAGACTGAACTAAATCATCCCTGAAGTCTTCTTGTGGCGTTAGTATCACTTTGCTCTGATATATGCTTGTCTTCTGTTCAGGTCGCTCGGTTAATGAGTTTGTTGATGCCTGCAAGAAGGCAACTGGGGTTAACATCAAAATTGAGTACCTCAGCAGAAGGCCAGGAGATTATGCAGAAGTATACAGCGACCCAACAAAGATCAACAAGGAGCTCAACTGGACAGCTCAATATACCGATCTCAAAGAGAGCCTGTCAGTCGCATGGAGGTGGCAAAAGTCGCATCCGCACGGCTACGGGCAAAACTAAATATAGCCTGCTGATCTATAATTCACTGAATCGTCAATATATATTAATTCTTTAGTTAGCGATATAAGATCTTGCTGCGATACTCCTCTCAAAATCACTCCTTTATTCTTCTCTCTTTCTTTTTATTTCAAAGGTTTGTTGTTTTTTTGGCTAGCAGAAACATGAACGGTGATTTGGATAAAAAAGGACCTTTGATGGCAATTTTATTGTTTCTGACACAAATTATTGATAAGAAAAATGTACATTTCTTAAGCCAAGGAGCTGCAAGGTTTGATTGAATTGAGTTCAGAAAAAAAAACCTTTGTGTTGTGATCGTTAGAAATGTTGTGGATTTTGTGCTGTTGCTGCTGCTGCTGGATGTTTGCTTCATACAAAAATTCATAATGCTGTAAGGGAGCATATGGACTGCATTGACAACCAAACTAATCGTCAACTATATATCTTAACCTAAGGCTATCTCCAACAACACCTAAAATACAAGATCTATTTGTCCTTTAGTTAGCGCTATAGACAAAAGATTTAATACTTATTCGGCATCTTCTCCAACAACAAGACAAAAAAAAAATCCTTTCTGCAAATGGGTTTTCAGGAGAGAGGATGTCTATATTTAGGTTGTGCCCAGGCAACCCAAAATAGGTGATTTCCATGAAAGAGAATGTACTTATTTGGGTTGTGCCTCTCAAGCAACCCAAAATAGGTCTCTCGTATAGGTACTCTATTGAAAACTAATTTTTAGTCTTTTACTACCTATTTTTAGTTTGTGTGTCTATTTATGGATTCCTTTTGAGACACTCTAACGATGGGAAATTTTGCCACAGAAACCAGCAACCTTAACTCCTGGCGACATGGCAGAACTGCAGCAAACCAGCTGCCTGATCTCCGACAGAGAAATCCTGCCGGCTGAGTTGATGTCCCTATGCAGTTCGGTGAGCAGTGCCTTTTCGCTCCATTTTTTTTCTCGCCTTTTCGGTAGGAGTTAATACGACATGTTGAATCAGGTTTTGTTTCGTGATCGGTCATGTAGGAATTCAACAGGAACCGGTCACCGAACCAGATGCAAATGTAGTATCATGAAAGCAACGTGGAAGCAACCGGCATATGGATCGGATTAATGTCGCTGCTGCACACGCACCGCCTCTTTTGTAGTTGTCAGGCCAAGTCTCCCCATTGGTTACTTGGGAAACGGTAGTACCAACCACCGTCACATTTTTTTTCGCCGGACCCAGAATATATTCCTATCATGTGAGTCAGCATGGGTTATCCAGAAGACAGCCATCTGGTGTCGCTAGTAGCATCGTGTCTTTCATCTTCTGATGGAAAATAGAGGAAATCATAAACATCTTTTTTCGATCGAGGACAGCAGCGTACGTACTAGGATGGCTCCTTCGTCTACGTCGCGACAAAACAGCGACCTCGACCCTCCGCCATTGCCGCACCCACCCTGGGTGACGACCTGTCCCCATCCTGAGGCTGGGGCCGCTTGTCAGAAGAGGAGGGCTGCGTGTCCCCCACTTGCCAGAGATCCGAAGGCGGGGTCGTCCCATAAGGATAGGAGTCGCTCGGCTCAGGCGCTTGAGGAGGGCGGAGCTATCTTCGACTTTTTTGGCCAACTATGGGCCATTGACTCCCCGCCGCCGCCGCGCAACCCTAGGGTCCGTGCCACCGTCTCCAGCTTCAATCCCTCCGGCCACCTATTCTGGATCCGGAAGGACCCACTCAAATCGAAGATCACCCCTCCGGATTGCTACCCAGTTTGTCGATCCGATCGATTTGACAAGCCGCCGGTGTCCATCAGCTTCGCGAGGGACGTGTGGAGCGCCGGGGAAAGGAAGTTGACCTACGCCGACGCGCTCAAGAGATCGATGGCCAAGGGCGGTCGCTGGGTGTGGCAGCCTGAGCGTCCTCAACCGCGCCCCCAGAGGCCACCTCCACCCAATCAAGCGAGGTATCCTCCCCAACATCCGGGTGGGCGGGAGCAGTGCAGCACCAGCAGGGTGCGCCGTGCCCCCCTCCTCCCTTGCGGCAGTATCAGCCGCCTCCTCTCCCGTCATCAGCCGCCCCCACAACCTCGTCAGCAACCACAGCAGCCAACCCGTCAGCAGCTGTCGCCTGGAAGAAGGGGGCTCAGCAGGGGAGAGGCCAACCTCAGGATCTTCCCTTCGTGATCGATCCAAGGTACAGAAGTCTGACATGCTACAACTGTGGGGAGCTTGGACATTTCATTGGTAACTGTTCTAGACCTAAGATCTGCTTCATCTGCGTGATTGTGGGGCACCATATGAATGATTGTTTGGTCTAGAAGCAGGATCATCCGATTACTGCGTATGTTGGTAGTTCAAGTCTGGGGTTAGGGTTCTATCATCTTGAGGTGCCGAGTATGGAGTCAACTCAATGGTTAAATCTCACCAATTGTGGGGTGGTCAGAGTCAAATCTGGGTCTGTCACATTAGCTGAGTTAGAAGGTGAGCTCTCTGAGATTATTGCAAGGACTGGCCTTGGCAGATTAGGGAATTGGAGCCTGGTAACTTTCTGGTCAGGTTCCCACCTCACAAGAGAGTGTATGATATCAAAAGTTACTCTTCCTTCAACTTGAGGAAAGCAGGGGTGCAGGTAGAAGTCCTGGAATGGATTGGAGATTTGAAACATGTTGGTGAGCTTCAGGATGTGTGGGTTCAAATGAGGGGTATCCCTCCCAAGTGGTGTCACTGGAATTTTTTTGCACAAATAGCTTCTGGTTTCGGGCTAATGGTAGATGCGGACTGGTTTATAACTTTCATGACTTTCTATGAGGTGGTTAGAGTTAAGGTTGATTGTAAGGATCCCACCAAGATTCCTGCAGGAAGGCTTTTTGAGATGGACAGAAAACTCTTCCCGGTTGATTTTGAGGTCGAGAAGGAGGATAATGGTCAGACAGGAAATGGTGATGACAATGGAGGAGATGATGGGGATGATGATAATCTAGACAATGATGATGAGGCTGATGATCTAAGTGATGATGATAATCCTAAGAAGACAAAGCCTAAGGAAACATAAGCTAGAGAAAATTCTAAGCTGAAAACACCAGCCAACAAGCCCAGCTCTAGCTCTGGTTGCAAGACAGTTCCTCATGTGGGCTTTGGTGTAGATGTGGACCAAGACAAACAATTGATCATTCTTATGGGAGGTTTTGTATCCAAGTTGTTAACAGCTGGGGTGCCTGAGACTCTTGAGAGCTCATCTTGCATCAATACTAAGAATGTTACCTTAGATGTCAACCTTGATAGCCTGGGACTTGAGTCCAAAACTCTCTCTGATACCCTTGAGAATATTGAGTTGGGATCTTTAGGAACTAAGGTGTTTACATCATGTGCTCAGTCTGGTTTGGAGGGGAACTCTTCTCTGTTACTTACATGTGGTGAGCCCTCTAAGATTAAGTGTAACCAGAATGACTTTTGTACTCTTGATCCTATTTGCTCGAAGTATTCAGACTGTCAATTGGTGGGTAATAAATGGCAAAGCTTTGTGGAGGATGAACAAACCATTCCAAATGGGAGGAATTCAGAAGATTGGTGAAGTTGGACAGTTCTCATGAGGAGTGTTCTCAGCTGCTACGTAAAATGGAATTACAAGATTCTGATGAAGAAATGGAGATATAGGATCAGGATCTCTTGTAATTGGAAGAAGCTGCTATGAAGGAGGATAATGCTTAGATCAAGGAAGATCTATTTGAAGGTCATTAGGATAAGAAAAAAAAAAAAGAAAACCTCAATGGGGGCCTATCCAAAGGGTTCCTAGGCCTAGGAGATTTCTAGAGGATGGAAAAACTATAATGCAAAGAGCTCAGGAGTACAAGGGCTACATCAACTTAGACCAAGGTACTAAACCTTCTACTTATGTTTCATCTATTGCTCTTGAGAGTAATGCTTCTCTGATTGATAAAACAAATTGTGTGGATATTGTTCTAGGCATAAATGAGTCTATGATTAATCATAATATTGATATAATGAAAGAGAAAGAGTTGAGTGGTAGGATGGACTTTTTAGACAAAAACCCTGAGGTTGGGTTGCCTGTGAATTTGGATACTGTTTTGATTGGTAATGAACAGTCTGACAATAATAATGTTTCACAAATTGTTAATATTCCTTTAAAGAAAAAAACAAGTGATGGATCCTCTTGGGCACAAGTAGTGGCCAAAGGTCTTGAGACCTCAAAAATTCAAAGTAGTTCCAATGAAAGGTGCAACTTGGAACATTAGATGCCTCAATAAAAGGGGCAAGTTACAATGCATTACTGACTTTATTAATGATAATAAACTTGATTTTGTTAGCTTCCAGGAAACAAAGAAAGAGTCATTTGATGATTCTTTTCTTGCATATGCTAATAAGGACTTTGTTTGGCACTGTCTTCCTGCAATTGGCACTGCAGGAGGCATCTTAGTTGGTCTAAATTCTAAGAAGTTTGAGGTATTAGCCTGGCAAAAAACACTACTTATTGTGTCTCTGTGATTATTAAAAATGTCGATTGCAAGTTTATATGGAGATTTATTAGTGTGTATGGGTCGCCTTATGATGAGGATAAACCTGAATTTTTTCAGGACCTTCATTTTCTCCTAGATAATTGGGATGGGCCCACTCTTATAGGTGGGGACTTCAATTTGGTCTCTAGTGTGAAGGATAAAAGTAATGGTATTGTGAACCATAGATGGCTAGATACTTTTCAAGAATGGATTCACACTTTTGGCTTATTAGAACTTAAGAATTTCTCTAGATCCTACACCTGGACCAATAACCAGGATCAACCTATCATGGCTGCTATAGATAAACTACTCTCTAATACTTTGTTTGAACAAAAATTTCCTCTTGCCTTTGTGACTGCGAAAGCTAGGGCGGGTAGTGATCATGTTTCTCTCATCCTAGATTTTGGCTGTCATAAGGTAAAGAAATCAAGCCTCTTTAGGTTTGAAAAGTGGTGGCTTGAGCAACCAGACTTTAAGCAACTAGTAAATAAAATTTGGAACACTA